GTTAAATTTTACATTCCAGTACTTAGGGGATTTTTTAAGTCCATACAGAGACTTATTTAACTTAACAATATTTTCCCCATTGTTATATGCCCCTTCAGGTAATTTTAAATACACATTTTCCTCTATATCACCATATAAAAATGCTCCTGTTACATCCATTTGTGAGACAGGTAAGTTAAGTTTTGTTGCTACTACTAAAAACAATCTAAATGTCGACAATTTTGCTACAGGTGCATAAATATCATTTAAATCTATTATATCATTTTGCTCGAACCCCCGAGCTACTAACCTAGCTTTATATTGCAAAACATTATTATTACTTTTAATCTTAAACACCCATTTACTACTAACAACTTTAATATTATCAGGTAACTTACAAACATTCCATGTATTATTTTCCTTGAGAGTTTGTAGTTCTTTTTGAATTGCTTCCTTCCACTTACAAGAGTCAGGACTACTCATGGCTTCTTGAAATGTCTTAGGCTCATTGTCAGACACCAAAACATTATGGCATTGATAAAACTTAGTTTTATTCCTCACACGATTGCCTCGCCGTCTGGTAGTTATTTCATTGCCACTTTGTCCACTTGAGTCCCCGCTTTCACTTGGCTCATACAAACTTCCCTCACTTTGTGTACCACTACTAGTTTCTTGATAACTGTCCTCTGGAGGGTTTAAACATGTTTCTTCACTAGGCTTTTCTGTTTCACTGATTTCACTAGCTGATAACTGTACAGGTAGATCATCATAATATAAGTTGCTATCACACTTTCCTATATCACTCTGATTAGTTTCCAGGAAAACAATATCTCTTCTTATTTCAACACTATTACTGCAGGGGAAATACACTCGATATCCCTTTGTTGTTTCTCCATATCCCACCAGATAACCTTTTTCTCCTTTTGGGTCCCACTTCTTACTTTGTACCTTTGGTATGTGGACAAAGACAGTAGTACCAAATATTTTTAGGTTATTTATATCATATGTTTTGTTGAACCACAATTCATAGGGAGTTTTTGTTGGAATGCTGCTTTTACCTGTTCTATTTAAAACATAGGCTGCGGTATTGATTGCTTCTGCCCATAATTTCTTTGGCAAATTCTTAGCACACAGCATTGTTCGTGCAGCCTCAACTAGCGTTCTATTTTCCCGTTCTGCACTGCCATTCTGCTCTGGGGTGTAGGGAACAGATGTTTGGTGAATAATACCCTTTACTTGGAACATTTCCTGGACCTCTTTGTTAATAAATTCTGTTCCATTGTCACTTCTGAATATTTTAATAGTATTTCCTGTTTCATTTTCTACCCGAGCAATAAAGTTTCTTATACACTTCTTAATTTCATCCTTATTTCTCACAAAGTAAACCATCCTATACTTTGAGTAGTCGTCTTTAAAAACAACAAAATATTTGGAGCCTCCTACTGACGTCGTTTCCATTTGTCCACAGGTATCTGCGTGAATTACTTCACATGTTCTGGTACTCACGTTATCACTCGCAGGATAGGGCAAACGTTGAATTTTACCCTTCAAACAACTCTCACATTTCTTCGAATCGAGCTCATGAAAACTGATATTTTGTTTCTTCAATATATCCTTTACATATTGTATGTTTTGATGTGCTAACCTTTCATGCCATGAATTCAAATCTCCGTGAACAACTTTTGTAGTATTAACTATACAATCCGTATAATAACGACAGTCCAACACATACATATTGCCGCTTCGCTGTGCAACCGCTACAATTTCGTTGCATTTATAAAATTCGCAACTATTACGGTTTGTTATTAAAACGTAACCTCTACTCGTGACACGATTCACAGACAACAGATTCATTTTTAGTTCAGGAACGTAGAGGACGTTATCTATGGTCGTGTGAATCCATTCGGTCCCGTTCCATACTTCAAGCGCCACCTGCCCGCATCCTTCGACACTAATCTGAGTTCCATTACCTACAGTTACCAGCTTGTTTGTAACACTCGAATACGATGAAAAAAGGTTTATGATCACAACACATATGCTCACTAGCACCGGAGTCTACTAGCCATTGAGTTTTATGAAAAATGTCACCGATTGCACTCTCTACAATGAATGCATTGTTTTCTTTTTGTTTCTTGAAACGACACTGACTTTTAACGTGCCCAACTTTATTACAATAATAACACCTTCGCTCAAATCGACTGTCTTTGTTATTATTATTATGATAATTGTTTGAACTTGCGGCTTGATTAAATCTACACTCACTTTGAAAGTGTCCTTGTTTATTACACTTGTAGCACTTCACTAGTTTTTTATTAAAGTTTTTCTTAGCAACAAACGCAGCGGAAGATGTTTGCGCACTCTCGCCGCCGCTTTTCTCCTTTATTCTTTCCTCTTCTATTAGCAGCCTGGCTACTAAATTGTCGTAGGTCTGCTTATCGTCGGGTGCAGATTCCCAGGCAGATACAAAGTGTTTGTATTGATCTGGTAACGACATCAATACTTTCGTAATCACGAACTTATCTGATATAGTTTCACCGAGCTGTTTCAATTTATTTTGCATTTCCTGAATCTTCGATAGAAATGTAGACATCTCTGTATCTTCTTCGTATTTAAACTGAAAGAACCTTTGCTGAACAATATGAATGGTCGTCTCCGATTTTTGTTCATAGACACTTAACAATTTACACCACATCTCAGCAGAGGTTTCACATGATAAAATATGCACCATTACATCTTCAGACATTCTTGTAACTAGCAATGTCTGCGCTTTTGCATCGCTAGTTTCCCATCGGGTACGATCGGCATCATTTTCAGGTTTTATCTTAGTGCCGTTTACTATGTCATACAAGCCCTGGCCTCGCAATAAAACCGTAGTCTGGAACCGCCATATATTCCAATTCTTGGAACCTTCCAATTTTATTGCTCCTTGTCCGTGTAATAAGGATTCCATTGTTTTAATTTATTTTACTCCTTCTTGCCTCGTTCCAACCAGGAACAAGTAATAATCCTTCCCGGCAAAATGCTAACCTTCAAGCACACGACGCCGCACGTGCCTTATTTTTCACGTTGTTACCTTTTGCCAGTATTTACTCCTTGCATATACTTTTATCCAATCTGATTATGAGTCTGGGCCCATAACCTGAAGGATGTTTAATAAAAGTAATATCCAATATTGTTGCACGTTTATTTTACTAATTACTTAAAAACAGACATCAACATCCTATTACAATTCTTATACGCTTCCGCCATGACACTTTTTATATTAGAAAAAAAATAAGAAAGAGAAAGAACACACATCTTCATATTTTGTCTCATCATATATTACATTGTCTATAGCTCAACATTCCATTCCGTTCTACTCAACAGATAAATAAATAAATAAATATCAAAATCTTGAAAGACACACACACACACACACACACACACACATTGAATTTAGAAATACATGAAACGGAAACACAGTAGGACTTGTAAGGTTGAACTTTGACCTTTGAGTCCACGGTTGGTGCGGTGGTTTGGGAACCGGCTGTCGCACAACATGTAGCGGTTACGATTCCCGCACGAAACAAATCTTTGTGTGATCCACAAACTGTTGTTTCGGGTCTTGGTGTCATGTGTATGTGAACTTGTATATTTGTAAACGCACACATGATACAGGAGAAAATCACAATGTGAGTCGAAGTTTTAAAAAAAATAACCTTACTTTTTAGCATTTAAGAATAAGAAAAGATATCAGGTTTCCTTACAACCTGTATATAAAGACTAGCTACTTCCGCGCGGTTTCACTCGCTCTGCTAGGCGCCTAATAACTGTAGCGTTATATTTTATAAAATAATAGGCTATAGCCTATAGCCTTCTTCGGTAAATGGACTATCCAAAACAGAAAGAATTTATCAAATCGGACCAGTAGTTTCGGATATTAGCGCGTCCAAACAAACAAACAAAAAAACAAACTCTTCAGCTTTATAATATTAGTATAGATATGAGTGTTCTTAGAAGGTAAAACTAGGTTAAGTATTAATATATAAACTCACTACATGGTTGGCAAGGAAATCAATTTACCGAACAAAACATTTTATCCTTCACCTACTTGTTCTACTTCCTAGAGAAAACAATATCATTATACATGTACCGATACCTTACATTGTCTGTATACTAACCTACTTACTTTAACACATACTTGTAATATTACTTTCCAAAACATCTTTCAAGGTTTCATTACAAAATAACTTTTTCTTTTACCAAGTTATATTACCTCTATTTTTCCTTAAAAGACAAATATTTTTTTTTATTCTCATATTGTTTTTAGGTCCCCCTATATGTCAACCCCATCGTACCTTACCTAATTAAATAATACTCTATGTAAATGAAAGAGAATCATCAACAAGGTCTAGATATCAGAAAAGTTATATCACCCTCATCTGTTCACACAACCCTTTTGCAATCTTCATTTTAGGATTTGCTAAAATGTTTTAAACTAGCCCAACATCTAATTTATTCAACTTATATTTTCTAATTAATGATTCCCTTTCATTATTGTTCCTGGCACAGTACATTAGCAAATGTTCTACGTCCTCTACTGTGTTGCATAATAATGACAAATATTAAGAAACTTGATTGAAGAACGGCTATTTTTTAATCGTAAAAACAGGTCATATATAATTAAAATATCACTGAAACAGTCAAACGCGGCATCATATCATCTTTGATGGTATAATGTTATGAACATTCTTTGTATCTTGCAAGAATTGATACAAATCCTTTGTCTTTCATACTTGCCTACGTGCTAGCTACTGATGAACTTAACTTAATTTTGATATATATAATACAAAATTGAATATTAAGTAACTGTACCACAACCACACGATTAAAAATCTATCTGTATTTTCCTCACAATGAAATATAAATATGACTGAACATCTCAATATAGAGGTAATAGAGAGACTACGCAGTTGTAGGATTAATTGAGCCGATATCTATCGATTAGTAGCGACACTAATCTGGCTATTCTTCCTTGTCAGGGGGACCAGTGGTATCGACATCGACCTTCGAAGAGTGGACATCGATCAATGTCCGATAAAACCTGGCTCAACACAGCTCAACATTTTTGCTGGAACTGATAAATGCAAGAAGAAAACTACTGAGGTAAGTGAAAACTTGTTACCTCTTTTTGAAAGTTGTTTTGAAAAGTAAGTTAAACTTAGTAAGGTTAATAAAGTTTAACCTTAAAATTCACCAAACTATTCCACTCCTTTAAATTACAAATCTCTCCAATAAAATGCATTTTACATGTATGCAATTACAATGAGCACGTCTCTGACTCTTTATTCGAGTGGTCCATCATGAAAACCAAATACGATACTTAATAATGGAAGCCTATTTTTTTTGTAAATAGGCTAATATAATATATTATAAGGTATATAATATTATAAGGCAGTACATTTGTCCATTTACACGTTAATTTTATCAAGCGAACGATGAGGCTGTCATTTATCAACTGACTACTCTGAGAAGAAATCCGAACTTTAAAACAAACTGAGTTTGAGAGAGAGTATTTGTCTAGACAAATATATATAGAAGTTTATGTCTCAATTAACAGGTGAAGCTGACTGATCTGACAAACAAAACCAACCAAAAGAACATTTGGGTGGGTCGCGCCATAACTTAAACTGTCAGAACACAGATAATTAGAAGAGAAATGGCGAGGCATAGTCTCGCACGGTCCTTGAACTAACAGTTGTAAAATAAATAAATAATAATCCTAAATCCTATCAAGTTTAACATCTGACGGATCGACGCTAGTTTGACGAACTAATGCCGGTTATATGAGCACAATATCAGTGTCTACTACTACAGTGACAGCCTCGTTGGCCAAGTGGTCGCAAGTGCGACTGCCGCGCAAGGGGTCTCGGGTTCGATTGCCGGGTCGGGCACAGTATTACTGGGTTTTTTCAAAAATTTCAGTAGTAGCACGGAGTCTGGACTATGTCCGGTATATGGAAATAGGCTCCCGTCCTATTACATGGTACTCATAACATAAATTGTGAAAAGTGGGTGTTAAATTGCACAGTGGCATTAAGTGCCGTAATGTACACCTCTGCCTATCCCTTCGGGGATGAAAAGGCGTAATGTTATGTTAATATCAGTGTCCTACCTAGTAGTAGATAATAGTGCTACAGTCCTTATGCCTATTCTGCCAATGACTGCACCAAGGGGACAGTCCATTTGCACACACAAATCTCTCACACACCAGTAACTAGTAGTCAAACCCGGAATATGCATGTAGGCCATATAAATATTTATTCCGTACGGAAGCAAATGCGACACGCAACAACCCATCACTCAGTCACTGCGCACACTGCGTCTACTTTTTAAAGTTTTTTCTTTACTAGACTTATTTGCACATAGAGGTGAAAATAATAATCTTTGCCTACAATGAGGTTTCATCCTGTGTCGTTGATATAATTTAAACCACGAAAAACTATAGGTACTCGAATCACAAATACGTTATTCTATAGTGATTTTTTTTTTATCGCCTGAATTGTGCTAAGGTACCTAATATAATGAGCATGTACGCTCAACTTAATACTGAGATGGAGGCCCTTTTGGCAAGGGCACGCGCTGTTAAATGTTATTTATTTATTTATATCTAGTTTTTATTAATGTTTAGTTACTGTATTTTTATTCTATTATCACTGTGTTGTTATACACTGTCGTTTCTTTGTGTTTTTTTCTATATCTATATAAAATAAATATGTGTATTTAATTGTTCTTTTCCTTTTTAATTTTGTATTTTTTTTTGTATCTATGTACGTGCCTATTGTCGAATAAATGTTTTTATCTTTTTCTAATACTAAATGTTTTATTCAATAAAGTAATACAGTGAAGTAAAGTTAATTTTCAACTGAAAAATCTTCATTGGATTCTTAAACTTTTTATAGCTTCAAAAACTTTTTCATTTTTGCAGCTTTATATTTTTTAAGACAATAGAATTTGTCTGGAATCCAATGAAACCTTTTACGATCCTTTTGATAGCAGATCTTCAAAGGCAACAAGAATTAAAAATGTACCACTTTTAGCATCACCTTACTAATTTATTTAAATAGACGAACTCATTCCTTAAAAAACGTGCCAAAATGGTCATTCGGTCGACGTTCATTCTATTTAAAGTCAGAATAAAAAGTGTGCGTATTTTTTAACGCGCAATTTTATGATTGTTAATTCTATTAAGTCGCCATTTTGTGTATTTGTAAATGAAAATGTATTTTTATTATTAACTAGCTGTTGCCCGCGACTTAGTCCCCATAGAATATGAATTTTAAGAATAACGTTTTTCCAAAATATAGTATCCTGTGTTTACTCCTTAGTACATCAGCTAACTGCTAATTAAATTCCTGTCAAAATCAGTCCAGCTATTTCAGAGATTAGTCAGTACAAACAGACAGACAAAAACTGTTATTTTGGTATGTGTAATAATGTGTATTATATGTATGTATAATATTACACGCACCAATTTTATTTATCTGTATAGATTAACTCGTTGAGTACCGTCATTATAGACACAATTAAAGAACAATAGGTTGCGGTCACCGTTGTCCTCGCGGTATTTGACAGTCTAATTAACGAAAATAACATTAATGGCACTATACTTTCGACTGGTATTTTAGTTATTAAATATTATAAAAATAAATATAACCACAGTAATGTCAATCACAGAATAAATTGTCGTTCAATGTCAAGGTCAAAGTTCAATTTACGACCTTACAATCTGAAAACCCCATAGCAAAACCCTACTATTGCAAAACCTCACATTCATACACATAAATGTAGCATAAATTCGGTTGACCCCACTAATCACATTAACCCCAGTCAACAAGAAACGATTCTTTTCTTCCGTCAGAACCTACATCAAGACAATTTGAGGGAAATCTTTCAATTTGAGGGTCACCGACTTAAAAGGAAACTTGTTAGTGGCTTGTGTAGCCCCTTAAGTTTAAATCATTTCGGGTCTTGGGTAACTCTTGTATAGAAAACGATAGTAACATGTTGAACAAGAGAGTTGATTGAGTAGTTTCGAACTTTGTACTTTTCAAGTAACAATACTCTTGCGTTGCTAAGGTTTTACTGGCATGTTTAGTGAGGAATACTAAAAGAACTAGATATTTTTATAAACAAGGAAAATAATACGTTTTGGATCACTCGTATTTCAAATTACCTTCTGTAGGTTAAAAAGTAGCCTGTATGTGATTCCAGACCATAATCAAGAGTGCCAGTTTCAAATTTCATCCTGTTCCTTTCAGCCATTTTGTGTCACCGTGTGTTTTTCTTAATCCCCAAAAAGCCGGTAACGCACTTGTAACGCCTCTGGTATTACAGGTGTCCACAGGCGACGCTAATTGCTTATCATCGGGTGATCCGTCTGCTCGTTTACCGACTTATGCCATAAAAAAAGTTAAAACAAAAGTAGGCTTCTATTTTTTTTTAATTTAATGAATTTTTTCATGTAAGAAGCACATGAATCACTAGATGTTTTGTAGGCAATATTCGTATCGCACGTGCCACTCGACGAGAAATGTACTATGAGTTCGTATGCGCTTTCGAAGTTTGCTTTTTGAAATGGTTCGTCCTTAATTTTTAGTTTTAAAAATTTTATTTCTTTGTAAAACTATTGTATTACTAAGACAATCATAACCTTTTTACTTCGGGACGAAAACGAATCAGATTTCACGGCGTACATCCAAAATAATGTACATCTACTCAGAAGACAAAGTACGAATAATTTAAATATTTATTATTATCTATTACCTTTACATAACTCCTACAATAGAACAAGATAATGAATTTAGTATTTAATCGAATCAGGAGATGGTGTAGTGTTTTCTTTTGTGTTGTAATAACAAACTGCTCTTCTCAATATAATTTAACAAGCTTGGTAATTGGCCGCCCTTTGTTAAACCCAAGGATGGACCATTCTTTGTTGGAAAAAATCCTTAAGTAGATAAGATAAGATGTCAATTAAAATACCTATTTTCATAGTCAACCATCTTCTCAAGATTTGCATCTTGGCAGTAGATTTTCTATTTAAATTGAAGAACTCAAAGTTCTTAACTTTACAACTGCAATGGTAACCACTCAACACTTGCTATAATAAGTAGTGACGCTGTTACCAAAACACTGGATATACCGTTTGAAAAATCTTTAGGTAATTCAAGAGAATCTAATATTGGAGTGATACCATGCATGTCGTGGTGGCCCGGAGGTTTATGACGCACTTCTCATACATGAGGGTGCTGGTTCAAAACCTACCAACGACAAGTACCAATGTGACTTTTTCCGAGTTATATGTACTTTCTAAGATTATCTAGACACCACTGACAAACGGTGAAGGAAAACATCGTAAGGAAACCTGGACTTATAATTCCTATTATTATAAGTTTGAAATCACCAACACGCTTTGAGCAAGCGTGGTGATTAATGCTCAAACCTTCTCCGTGTGAGATGAGGCTTTGCTCAGCAGTGGGCATTTATAGGCTGTTGATGATGATGATGACCACGGCCTTACAGAAAACCGACGTGAACCGCTTGCGTTGTGGTCTGTCGCGTAAGTGATGTTAACGGAAGCCCATTTACCCCCCTCCCCAATCCCTAAAAGGCCGGTAACATATTTGTAACGCCTCTGGTGTTTCGGGTGTCCAAGGGCGACACCAATTGCTTACCACCACGTGATCCGTCTGCTCGTTTGATCCACATCTTTTGACTGACACTGGAGACAGATTTAAAACCCTCTATGTATGTAGACAATTACACATTTAAGGCACGCAATCCTTTGAGTAATTCAACCGTCTTGTAATAATAATAATCAATTGTACGCCAATCTCCATTACATATGAATAACACACCCGATACGCCTCCTATAGTAATTTATTCTTAACATGACAGATCACTGTACCCTTTCGCCCTGCACGAACATTTGGATTTATTATTCATGCTACGACTACACATGATACCTTACCCCTTTTTGGTATATTAAGATAGTAATCGTTATGAAATTTTTTTCCTTGAGATTCCTTGTTATTGAACTCATTCTAAATAAGACCTCGTTGGTCATCGCAATTATGACGTGAGAAGTCTTTGCGTCAAGTCCT